AAATCAAAGAAATTGCACACTTGTGAAAAGTATCACAATGGCTTCTACTAAGCAATACTGTAGCATAAAAAGGGTTTACATTTGTACTGTGTCATGTCATCATAGCATCACTGTGTTTGATTTAATACTGATGCCAACAGTAATCTTAACCATATTTTAGCATCAGAAATGGATCCTTCTGTGAAACAATTTGGCATATTTGCCTATATTTTTCTGCAGGAAATGATGACAAAAACTTACAAGTTGGAGATAAGATCAAAAAGCTGAACTCAAATTGCTTCTGTAGTTTGTTCAAACTGTTCAATCTATTTGTTTAGTGACTCATCCTAAAAGAAACAACTTCATTTTAAACTGTACAATTTTTTTTAAAGAAAATCCTTTTCAAGCTATTAGCATCCTAAATCCTGTGTCAGTATTTTAAGTAGCAAGTAGTGCTATTTAGAAACATATAAATATGGCTGATCAATAGTTACTGCAAATGAAGTGCAGCATAGAAAGAAGAGCCCATGCCTGACCAGATACATTCTTCATGGCCTCAAAACTGTAAGGATTTGTTCGTCAAGAATATATCTTCTATTTTTTTTTATAATGTGGCTTAATCATTAGCCTGCAAAGATTGCAAGCTGCTCTTAGTCAACTATTCAGACTGATCAAGTATCATAAAGCTAGCACAATTACCAGCAGGAAACACTGAGCAAGCATGCGTGTGTCAGCTGATCTAAACCTTAAAATGAGTTGTTGCAATTTTTTTTTTTTTAACATGCTTCCTCTTCCTTTTTCTTCTGGATGGAAAACATAATTTGTTTGAGGCCATCCAGAGAAAATCACAAGTGGCTGGTTGGATAGGGAACTATAACTCAAATTAACATTTTAGCTACCACTCTGCTCTTTACTCACAGATATTATCTTTCCTTAATGGCAGACCAGTGGAATTCCAGAATATATGGAATCTACAGTAGGGAAGTAAGCTAATTAATAATTGCTTAATTTATTCTCTGTACTATCCAACAGTTTTAGGGCAGTATACAATATTTTGAAAGGTATCATAAAATTAAATGAATGCATACACAAACCCTACCCCACCAGAATAAGAACGCAACTGTAGACAGTGACTCTAAGAGTGAATTGTAATTTTCACTTACATTTCTGCAAAATGTAAATTTGGCAAATCTTAGAATCATGTAACAGCCATTCACAAATTAGTATCAATAAGAACATCTGAACCATAGTTAAATCAATAACCTGCATTGATGTAGCTTTACACTGTATTGGAATGGAAAGATTATAAATTATTTATTAATTACTGGTGTAATGTAAACAAGTTCAGAGCGTCAAACTGTAGTGTTTTTAACCAAATTGAAATGATCACGCTGCAAGTAATTTACTAACAATTCATTACCACTTATTGTAATAAAATGCAAAAGCTAGAAGATTAATTCCTTCTTTACATCTGAACCACAGAACAATGACAATTTAGCCATTTAGACTTTTATTTTTGGTGCTCTGCACACAATTTCATTTGGTCACTTTTTTCCAGTGAATGAAAAATTTATTATTTAGATAAAGCAGCAGAATGCATTCCCACATCACTACTGAAGATTTAAAAGGCCTGATTCAGAAGTAATTGGAAACAATGTATTTCATGAGACATCAAAAAGCACAAGGGGGCCCTGACTTTTGACTGCCTCCTTGCCTCTCACTGCCAGAGGAGGAGACTAGCACAGCTGCAACGTGCTTAAATTAGAGTTAGTAAAAAGCCAGGATCAGAATACATGAACCTGAACATTGTGGAGAACTGTGGTTTATTTGAAATCAAAAGAGAAAGCTTCCAACCTCATGAAAGAAGAAGAGTTTGTAAGCAAATTCATGGTTCATCACAACTGAATTTTACATAGTGGGAAACAATGGTTTCTTTTTATTTGGGCTACAGTTTTGCTTTGTTCTGGCTTTTTCATATGAAGAGCTCTCCTATTAGTATTAATCAACTTGATTACTTTGGAGCAACAGAACATGTAAACTGAAAACAGTTTTGTTGGAAAATTTATGCTAAAATGGCACTAAGACAGGAAACAGGGTCTTTCACAAAGTTAAAAAAAATCCAACAAAATAATGCAGGAAAAAGCTCTAAACCTTTGAAGAAATGAATGAAAAAACATTTAATCCACTAGTGTTTAATGTTACTTATGTAAGCTACATTCAGTTTATACGTAGTGGAAATAAACATGCTTTTTAAAAGCACATAGCCATACATTACTGTGTTTAATTCCGCACTTACGTCTGTTTTAATTCCACGCTTATGTCTGAACATTTTCCACTCATTTCAAAATGTAAATCTAGCCAATTTAAAATGTTATACGATACTATTCTATACTCACAGACATGGTAGTCTGGTAGAACTCAATGAGATTTATTTCTGAGTGTGAACATTTAGCACTCTTAAAGTCTTACTTTTAGAGAGTACAGTAATTAATGGGACTTAAATGTGTCCTAGGCTGCAATTCTATGTATATTTATCTGGGAGTAAACTCATCGAACACAGTGTGATTTACATCTGAGTAAATATTAATGGTTGTATGATATGCTTAAGTTTACTAGGTTATGCCCTCTATTAAAAAGTATGTTCCTAATAATTAGTTGTATTAAATACACACAAATATCTACCTAGCAAGAAGAGTATAATATCTCCAGCCTCATAATATTGAATCTGCATGGGATTGATATCCTTGGTATCAGAAGACATGCTCAGTTATGATGTTATGAGGAGCAGCAGAAGAAATTAATAATTTGTGCTGTTAAGTAGGACATAATCCCAGCTCTTCCTTTCAGGAACCCTCCAGTTCGAAGAGATTGTACTTAACCTCTGATGGGGCCCACAGCTATTTTGATTTAAAACACAAAATAAGTTGTTTCAACTGCAAAGTAAACTCTATGTATTCAGAACAAGAGCAACAAGTTTTTTAAAAAAGCTATTAACCAGTTACATTAGGTAGAAAGCTAGACTGATAAAATACCATTTTTAGGCATTTAAGTATTTACAACAGTAGATCCCATAATGGTAAAAAGTATCTAATGCACTAGTTAATCTATGCCCTGAGTAAAATAGCATTATGAAGTAGAAATCACAGGGAAGAGTCCATTTTCACTACTGACTCTGCTATGTAATGAAAGCATTAACTGACCACATGTGCCCATTTCCTTCATTTGACAACAGCATAGTGCTCAGATGATGGAAATGGAAAAATGAAGTCTAGGCACTGAAGCTTTTTGACTTAGAAAACTATTTGAAACAAGTGTTTCCTAAGAGATCAGATGGGCTTCCTATAGTTCTTGCTTTCTGAACCTCAAGATTGGGGTTCTACCTAAAAAGAAACTCATCTAAAGAGATGGCCTTATCCCTGTTTCTGGGAGGTAGTCAAGTGTTACCTATAAGAGACCACTTTCCCCACTGTAACACCACACTCTTTGAGAAGGAAACAATTTAGGACACTACAAATTAAACACAGCAAAAGAGAAAAATGTCTCATCAACATGTACTGGCTTTGTTTTCTAATGAAAGCTGCCTTTGAAACATTTCAGAGTACTGGGTCCCCCCGCTTTTTATCAAAAAGTGTTTAACATCCAAAAGAAATGCTGTCATTTGAGGGAATGTGTCTAGGTGCTTGTATAAGTCACATCCATCTTTCACTTGAAACACCTAGAACAAATATAAGCTGACAGTCTAATTTTTGGCATTAGAAAAGGTTGTAAAATTCAGGTTCACTTGTATGCTCTGCAAAAATGCATTGTAGCTTGGAATGGAACTAAAATACAATTTTTGTTGTTGTTGTTATCCAAAAATGCTACTATTTTCAATGGACACTGGGCACCTTTCAAAACCAGCCTATTAGATTTAACTGTACAGCTAACAGCCAGTCATTTCCTAATACTGGCAGATTTTATTTACTTAGAACAGTTAAAAACTGCATTATTAAACAGATAAGCTAAGGAAAAGCCAATCATATTATGCAAATAATATTCTATATAAGACAAAGAGATAGAACAATAAGGGGGGGAAACCCAGTAATGTAACTATCAAGAAAGCTCTTCAAAGAGATTGTCAAACCATCCAATCTATACTTCTTCATTAATAATGACAAGCATACTGAGAAATACTCATAGTAGGCATTCCCCACTGTTTTAACAATACAAAATTAAAAAAAAAAATGTTTAATAGGTTGTTACTATGATGCAATCATTATCAAGGCAGGGCTTAAATTTAAAAAAATGATATAAAAGGCTAGTAGAAGTTCAAGTATTTCATTAGTACCTGGGCTATAACTGCCATCCTGAAGATACTAGCAATTATATCTGAGTAGGTATCTGAGATGAAGAGTTAATTTCTAGATCAATACATAAATAATGATGCATTCTTTACTTAATGGTTTGCTTATGTTGATCTCCTAATTTAATGTTCTTTAAAGGGATTTTAATTTTTGAAGTACCCCATGATATCCACAAACATTTGCAGTTTATATTTAGCAAAAAGATACCATAACATCTTAAATAAATGTTTTTCTTAAATAAAAAAAATAAAATGTAGCTGTTCAAATGTAATGACGCAATACAGCAAACAGCAGATGAGCAGTCAAGTGAGCAAAATAGCCAACTAAGCTGAAGAGAGGCTGGTTAAACTGTGTGTATCCTAACATCAGTCATGGGGGCGGGGGGGGGGGGGGAA